CTGCTTCAAAATATGCCATTATTTTTATGAGTGACGGCTTGGCACCATTTCCTGAAGCAGAACTTCAAACTTTGGTCGAATTACATGGTAATGTCATCAAGAAATTTTGGACATTGGCATTAGGACAGTCAGATATGTCTATATTAAAGCGTATAAACGAAAAAATGGATGGAACCTTTTTTAATCTAGCAGATTCAAGTGAGTTAGTAGAAGCATACGCTGAAATTGCACGGACATCGTAAATAAAGTTTTGATTTCTCATAAAGGCTAAATGACATCGTTAGTCTGATGGAGAAATTAGTCCTGCTTTGGTTTTAATATTTTCTTCTTATTTGATTTTGAACGCATTTTTCAAAGTAAATTTTTTGACTTTAACGCCATGAGGATGAGGATGAAGATGTTTAGACAATCAATGATAAATCGAAGAAGGGGAAAGAAAGCAGAAGAGAAGCAAAGAAAAGATTTAACCAATCTACGAGAGGACTGATGTTTTTTGTTTTTCATGTAGGTTTTCTGTACACTAAGAGAAGTGCGGAAGGTGAAATACAGCGAAGGGGGGAAGTATAAGTTTGAATTTGAGTGGAATGATTGATATCAAACCTGGAACATTTCGTACACTGACTAATGCACTATGGTCGGCGAATAAGGCGTTCTAGCTACGAGCTAAAATGTTGATTGGCCTTTACAATTAAACCATTATTTTCACATGCAAATGAACGATTTCTAGTTTAGAATTAATAACAGCTGTTGAAATATTGATCAGTGTAAGATAAAAAATAGTATTCGTTAAGAAGTTGTGTAGCAACAGGAAGCGATGCATTTGCGATATTGTTAGTATTGGAAAGACTTGTAAAAACTGTAACATCTTTTGGTTCAATATACACTGTCAAAGTTTTTTGCACTTTTTACTTGCTGCTAAAGATATTGCAGTACCGCATTTCTTTTTCAAAATGCTATCAATTATGTTCTTGCTGTCATTAGTGAGGAATAATTTTGCTCGATCGTGAATTACATCTAATTTACATACATCTAAAGTTCTTTTAACTTCTTGCTTGATCCTGGCAGACCCGAAATATCAATGATTACTTTATAATTATTCTTAAAGATGCCTAAAAATAAATCCTACTTACGATCTGTTGTTCTTAAAACTAGAAATGAATAACGGACGATGAACAATGACAGATGCGTAGTGAATATCAACAATATATAAGTGAAGGTTTAATTCATTTTGAACCTCATTAGCAATGTTTTTTAGAACATAAAATTTAGTTGTAAGTGGAACTATTCTTACATCTGTTTTTATACTCATAACTCTATACAGTCTACACAATTTGTCTTATTCATCTGTGATTAGCGAATTAGAGATAACCCGTTTCAAGGTTTTGCTTCTGAAACAGGACAGTTTACAAAACGAGTTAGAGTATAAGTACTTAAAATAATAGATTCATGATACTACATGTCTTTTTCTAAAAATCTGGTTTTAGCCTCATTCAATAGAGAATTGAATTCTTTGCAAAATCTGCTATTTGAACCTCTGATAGTACTTCTCTCGTTTGAGCACCATTCAAAATATTGAATAGTGCCAAGTTCTTAAACTGCAACACACTGAAAATAGAAAAAGATTTGCCTTGCTCCAAAAACAGATTTTATAAGAATGTTGAAAACATCAGAAGATTCATTGGAAAATTCTACATCTTCTCACATATTTTTCGAAATTTTACAGTTAAGTCTTCTAGGAAAATTTCTCTTTGTAAAAAACGGTAATTCTAAAAAAGCCTAACTTTTGAACCTATTTTTCACAGACTTTAGTTTTTTGCCTGTAAAAGTAGTACAATGTTCAGAATCCCGGACTTTAGCCTTGTTATATTACACAGAATTACATTCAGCATCTTTTGATGTATAAACGAAGTTTCTCAATTAAAACCATTAATTAAAAAAATTAATTTAATTTGAAAATTTTGAAAAGCCGATTTACAACTAGTTACGAGTCCAGCTGACGTAGTGAAAACATTGTATGAAGTTGTAAATAAGTAAAGTTGATAGAGCACAAAATTCTCTATCTCTCTACCAAGAAAAAGTGACTATTGAACTACAGACAATGGGCTAAAAATCCCAAAGAAAAGATGCGACAAAAGCACGTCGCAGTACGAGAACTTAGCACTATTCAATATTTTGAATGGTGCTCAAACGAGAAAAATGCTATCAGCGATTCAAATAGCAGATTTTGTAGAGAATTCAATTCTCTATTGAATGAGACTGAAACCAGATTCTTAGGTTACTTGGAAGTGTTCCAAAAATAAGAAAAAAATTTGAACCGTTTATTATGTGACTCCCGTTAGATATGCGTTTTCAAATGTATTGGTTGTAGGCAAACTTAAAATTTTAATTCTGGCTAGGCAGATTTTAAATTTGACTGAATTTTAAGTTTCGCTACAGTATATACATTTGAAAACGCATATCTACATGCGCAAGAATAACAGAAAATTTTTTAACTTCGATCTGTTTTGATGCTGAGCTTTAACGATATATTCTACACATTATGCAAGCCTAGAACATCTCCAGGCACGTTTTTTCGCACAGTAAAGTACATTAATCATTCGATATACAATTGTGTACATCTCGTTTTTCTTCTTGAAACAATGCTTCTTTCTAATCAGCAGAAGACAAATTGATAATAAATCATTCTCTGCTTCGGCTATTTGCCGATGACACTTCTCTCTGTCATAACAGTGATGATATTGTTACTGCAACTAACATTATCAATGCTGATTTCATTAAAAATTAATTCATGATCTAAATTTCGGCAGCTTATGTACGATACGGTTTGAAAAAATGCTATACAGATAGTAAAAGCGCGAGAGAGAGATATAACAGTTATCATTTTCTGAAAAAAAGAAAAACATTTCGACAACATTTCGTGATGGCCGCGTGTCTGACGTGTGCTAGTTCTATAACACATACACAAACTAGAAAAATTCAAAATACTTTTTTTGTGTCTACGGTTCTGCTAGAAAATTAATACGTGTCTTGCTAGAAATAGATGTATATTTACTTTTGGTACGAAAACTGTGTTGAACAAGTTAAATTATAAATATATATTATCAGCATTATTTACGTAGACATTTTCAATACGGTACTTAGTTCACGTTCTAAAAGTCCACAAGCGTTAAAATTGATCAGCGGTAATGTTTCTGAGTAGTTGACGTCTATGGGTGTCAATTTCTTACACGCGTCGATGTTGTGAATGTTTGAATGTAAGTGGTTTCCCTTTTCTAAGTGAAAGTTACTGTACGTTCTGCACCACTATTATCTGGGTAAAACCAGGTATCCAGAATGTCTAGCTCAAGTGATAACATTCTCCCTTCATACCAGAGACAGGACGCAGGTCCAATCAGGTCTTTTCTTGATAAAGATAAAGCTACGGACATTTTTGAGCTTCAGTCCTGTTTCAGGGCTCTTTCGATGCAGTATCGTCCACTCTACAAAACGATGATCAGAAATATTTACTAGTAGTTCTTGTTCACCTACAACGTACCAAATACAACTGACCTAAATGTGTGAAATGATGTGGCGCTATTTTCATAGAGCGCATAAAAATAAAAAGACTAAAAGATGCGCCTTAAATTTCTGTACAAAACCGTTTATCCGATTTGTTGGTTTCTTCTAATTTTCAAATCAGATAGGGTCCTTTACCAACAAACATATATCCCAATCGGGATATAAATTCGATATTTTTAAGGATAAGTCATTAACGAAAAAACGATGATGTTCGCGGAAAGCTTTGACCATACCGCCGCAAAGAGCGTAAAAAGCTGCATCAGATTCATTTTTGCTTGTGACCAAGTCTTTTTTCCGGTCAGCAACCTTTTTTTTAAATAATTCTCGTGGTCCATATTCTATATCCCGATCAGGATATTCTATTTTTTTTATTAGCTATCTTAACACTTTCTCGAAATATCCTGACATTTCTCCTACTCTGGACATGCACAAGCCAGGGACATGCAGGAAAATATTCAGGTAAAGTCCTCCTCGTCAATCGCAAAGTCGCTTGATCACCTCTTCTCCTCCGTATTTAAGCGCTTCCGGAGTCACTCCGTAGTCGCAACCAGGTGATTTGCCGCTCTTTACTGCATGCACAGCAGAGGCCGTTTCCTCCAGGGTAATCGGACCGGTGTTTATTGAAAGATCTTTCTGCGCTGGCTCGATTTCATGGTCGTTTTGATTGTGTGACTAGGGCCCATGTTCTTCTGAGGCTGCTGCTTGTTTCATTCAAAAAATGAATTCATTCATTTTATCAACAGTATACTAATCAATATTAATATAATTCATTAAGATAATGTAAGAAATTGATAGATGGCTTTATAAGTTACATTTATTATTTTATTTACGAGTTACAATGAAACAGATAATTTTAAAGTATTAACACATTTGTCACATTTAATTGCAAGTTCAGTTCCAGACAAAGTATCATATATCGTGTAAAATATTCCTTCAATTTATTATCACAATTGTTGTAAACTTTCAGCCTCTCGTTTCGTCAGATCCTTGCCGTTGTTTCATTCATGAATATTGTTTCTTTGCAAAAGCTTTTCCATTAAACAGTTAAATTCTATCATGGAGTATACAAAATGACTTCGTTAACATTAAATTGCTATTGATCCAGGTATAGAAAAACGAAGTCCATATTGATACGTATCAACGTATAAATATATCAGCCATGTATCAGTTTCTTACGTTATCTTAATGAATTCTATTAATATTATTAGTGCACAGTGTATGGATAGAACAAAATGAATAGAATGCTAGAAAAAAAACGGGACGAAACGAGACGATACCATTCAAAGCTGAAGAAATTTAGAATAGTGTGATATCTCTGCTTTGCTATACATCTTTTTTTCACAGTAGCGTGATCATTCTAACGACTTTAATTTCTTATTGATGAAAAAAAATAGAATATTCCTGACATAAAAAAGATCTTTTCAGCTATCTATTAATAGTTTGGTTTTGTACACATGAAAATGCGTGTTAAAGTCAAAATATTAAGGTATACGTTTTCTAGAAGTTTATTGGACACGAGAAAATTTTTTATAACTTTATAAGAAAAAAGTACATAACTTTCGACAAAAAAAAATCCGAACAAGTTCCTCCACAGTCAACCTGACAGACATTGATGAGAAAAGATTGCTGGATACCGTAGGATAGGCATGGAGAACAACATCGTTTTTCTTTCAACCAACCAAATTCTACCAGATCTCGTAGGAAAAAACTTGTGGATTAAATAAGTCAAAAAGTCTTGCGATGTTTCTTACCTTTACGCAGGATTTTTTCCATGCTGACCCTACAGAAACTATGCAGGGTTCTGTCAGGGCTGGCAGTATAAAAATCCTACATAAAGGTAACAAACATCGCCAGTTATCTTAACACCGATAACCTGCGGGATCCTGCATAAATTTTGATTATTTTTTTCAGTGGGTAGTGACCTAAAAAATTTTAAATCTTAAATATCTGTATAATGGTAACAGGTATGAGACGAAACCAGAAACTAACATCCCGTTTAATTCTTGTTTGAATTTAAAACTTTCATCCAATGAATTGGTTTGCCGAAAAAGTTGAAAGACCTGTAAATGATTGCACTTTTTGCTACTGATTTTTTTTGTCTATTCACATACTAAAAGAACTATAATACACTATAAAGCCATGGCACACATGCTCATCACACGCACGAGAGAACAAAACACAGCACTTTCCTCTTTTCTTCAGTAGAGAGCACACCTGTTTTTACTTCTCCTAGTTCTTACAAAATATTTTGTCTATGCCTATATTATACACACAACATTTTTGCGCTCTGTCAAAGTTTATAGTGTAAATTAAAGGTCAACAGGTACAAAGATTATGTAATCACAGATTATTCTAATTATAATAAAGAAACAGTGGCACAGAAAGACTTCAGATGCAATGGCGGATCACTCCAATTGACACTGAATAATTTTCAACAGTAGCAATCACATAAACAGCAAAATATAGGCTCGATGAAAAGAATGCCTACAAGTGACGCAATGAGATTTGGAATAGATAATGAAGTCATTGAAATGAACGGTGAATGGCAAAATGCACCCTCTCGCAACAATAGTAAACGATTCAATGGAAACAGTGACAAGGAGTACCGTCAACAACAAGCTGGAAGAACCTTTGTGAACTCGAAACAGGCAGAAACAAATCAGACACGTCAGCAGCAGTCTCCTGTTCTTACTTCCCTTACTCAACAACCAGATTCATTAAACGAAAGACAAATTAGAATTACAGATCACGCTCTGGATTACGCTGCTGACTACCACTACACACCTTTCAAATTAGTATGTCAGCCAAAGCTTCAAGATAAGAAAAAAGCCGCGAAAATGATCAATGAATTAATCAGTTTTATAAAAGCAAGATTTTCTTTCTCTACTGAGATTCTCTTCGATTCGTGGTGGATTGATTTATCGGGTGATGTACAGATTCTGATTAAAAATACTGAACTTTATGTCTGTCTCTGTAATAATGAACGTTATCCAGAACATTTGAATGGCACTGAAATATCCCCTGTTCTACCTCTTCACCTGCCTCCTCAATATACAGCAATTGTCAAATGGATTCATAATGATGTACAGGATGATGATATTAGAGAAGAGTGAAATATAAAAGCATTTATTATCTTGAATCAATGCATGGCACAAAATCTGAATATACTCGTCATGTGAAAATTGAGATGCTAAATCGTCGTGAGTATGAATCTTTGTTAAACAGTGGCAAAGTGAATCTGATGGATGATAGTTATGAAGTTAATGAATTTCTTCCTGCGCCAAAAGTTTTGATCTGTGGCCGGTGTAACCGTCCAGGGCACACAAAGAAATACTGTCAAAGTTCAGCCTTTGATATTTGTCGAAGGTGCGGTGGCGATCGTACTAACATTCAAGCACATAAAAGTTGTATTGTCAAATGTCATCACTGCGGTGGTGAACATGAAGCAACAAGTTACAAATGTCCTTTGATATCTGATTTTCGCCGTGAATTAATTAAACAGCTGAAAAATCATCCTGAAAGACTCCCGCCTCAAGTTCAGTTGTTTATTCCCTCGGATTACAGAAATAAAAAAGACGGAGCACGAACAATTTTTAGTAGTAGACAATATGACAGTGGACCCTATCAAAAATCTGTTAATCAAAATTATTATGATAGAAATGATTCTCAAGCTCGGCCGAGTGTAGCTCCAGCAATAACCACAGATACCACTTCAGCCTCCATTCAGTCTGAATTAAATGAAAAAATCAAGTCCCTGGCTAAAAGGTTAGAAGATGTGGAAAAAAGTCACGCAGCTGAAAAAGAAATAATTAATTTAAAGTACAAAAGTCATATTGCTGCAATTAATCAAGCATGGCTTTTAATGGAACAGGGATATGAAATTCAGCGAAAGATGATTTCAAAAACAAATGTAGCAGTTAGTGAAATAATGTTTGACACCGGTCTATTAGTAACTGAAGATATTTATACAACAGTAAAGAACATTAAAACCGCTTTGGGCTCAACTGAATTTGATCAAACTATTCAGTAGCTACAAACCCATCACTCATTTATTAGCGAAAAACAACATCAGTATGATCGTCATCAGATTGAATTGAATTCAATATCAATGGAACAAGTGAAGAGTTTGAAAAAAGTATTGTCGACTCTCTTCACTGTAAATAATGTTTAGTCAACACCATTATCTTCATGAAGAATTAATCGATTATTTTGAAGGGCACGTAAGAGGCAAAGAAATTTTAACCTCTCTTTTTTTTGAATGGAGTTCTGCTAACTGTGTGAGTGAACTGTGTAAGCTCTGGAAAAGGGATAGGCCTAAAGCATGTTCTGAAAATTTAATAGTTTTGCTGTGGAACTGCGAGGGGTTAAGTTGTTATGATCTGCCTTCCCCGGCAGCTCATAAGGTTCATTCTCTCTCCATTCTGCTCTTGTGCCATTCTTGCGCAATTCTGTTATTGCGCAACTCTTGTTTCATTCTTTCGTTTTCGTTTCCTTCCGCAGTGTATTTTCCCAACTCTTTCTGTTCTTGCGCAACACTTTCGTCAGTCTGTGATCTTCCTAACTATTTCTGTTGTTATGTAATTCATGAGCAACTCTTGTTTAACTTTGTACTATATATAGCGGTTCATTTGCTTCAAATAAAGAGATCGGAGTGAGAGTTGATTCTCACTATAGCTTCACTACTACGGTTAGAGTTAGCCACTAGAGGATCTATATCCTCACATAAGTACTCATTTGTCTTATTTCGATTTGCTTCTCTCTTCTCATTCTCCACATTTATTTGTTCTGCCTGGAGTAGGTAAACAGATAGGAAAGTTGCCTCCTGTGCCAAACTACAAATGGTTTAGTCAAAAAGGATCTAACAGTTTTGGAGGTGTAGCTATTTTGGTTCATCAAAATATAAAATGCGCTATATCAGAACAATTCCAAAATTTTATTTTACTTGAAGTGGAAGTTTTGAACAAGAAATTATTTGTTGCAGCAATTTATGTCCCCCCGAGTAGTCTTCCGCCACTGGACCTGTTCAATAAACATAAAGATAAAAACATTTGCTTTTTTGGTGACTTTAACGCTAAGCATGAAAATTGGAATTGCAAGAAAAATAATGTGAGCGGTAATAAACTTAACGAGTGGATGGTAGAGAATGGGTTTGACTGCATCCATTCTAAGTTTCCGACCTCTAAAAAATCAACCGCAATAATTGACTTTTGCGCAGGAAAAACAGAAGAAAACTGAAGTGTTGAAAGATTAGAAGAGGGGAACTCTGACCACTATGCTGTGCTTTTCTTTTCACCTTTCAATGCTGGCGAAAACGGTGTTTTTCGTAGTCAAAAAGTTCATATGCAAGAAAAACTTAAATTTGAACAAGAAAAAAGCGCTAAAAAACTGGAGCACATGAAACAAGGCCAAAATATTTGGTCTCATGTTAAAAACGTTTAATTTCAAACGCCAGATTTCCAAAATGTTAACTTCGTTTTTGATGAGCTATAAACATGATACTGTACTAAATGAAGAATAGACTGCGTTGTTTTTTAAATAACTTGCAAATGAAAAAGTTAGAGACCTGCGGTTTTCACCATTCGATAGCCCATAACTCAATATAGAACTGAAGGATAATTGCTTCAAATTTTCTTCTGCAGAAAGCATAGAAGATTTTTATAAACGATTTTCTCAAAAACTTTGCTGACATTTGATAAAATAGACGCAAAAATGCCATTAAAATGGTATAATTCATAGTTGATCAGAAAGGAGTGTATTTGTTTAAGGTTTTATTATTGTTGAGGCTGATTGTACCCCATTGGTATTGGTTTTTGTTTACTTTTATTACAGCGTCATCATGGTTTAGAGTTAGATGAAGTAAAATAGAGCTCTATGCAGAAAAAGAACAACATGCTTTTTAATTTGTTTTTCTCAACAAACAAAAAATAACTCTTTCCGTTACAAAAACTGTACTATTTGTTTTGAATAAGAATGCTCTTCACCATTTTTCGAATAGCTTTTGATGAAAAAGAGCTATAGAGTTGCGCTTTTCGGAAAAAGAGGCTCAAAGAGAGACAAAAATCCAAGAACCTAACGAAAAAACCTGTATTAATTGAAATAATCCATTTTCGGCTATTTTTGAAGGAAAATTTAACACTTATAACTCTGCCAAAATCGCTTATGATTACGAATATTTATTCTTTACATTTCATTCGTACGCTTTTGAGCTTTCACTGTTTCACGTAAGCGTTGCTCGCCTTTTCTGGAAAATTGATTGTTGTTAAGTTTAAGCACTTTCACGGTTTGATTCGTTTCAATTGTTCTTATTAATAAACCGATACTTGTATCCGTTATACGATTGCTCTGCAAATAGAAATGAGTTAGACTTTTGTTCTGAGGTTTCGTTGGATCGGAATCCAACAATTAATCATATAGCATCTCCAGACCGCTATCGCCGATATCGTTGTTATTTAGTGAAAGTTCTACTAATGTTGTATTAGACTTTAACGTTTCAGATATATTACTCGCACCAACATCAGTTACTTTATTCTTGTTAATGTATAAAAGTTTGAGTTTGCTGTCTTGGTGAGACAATGAGTTACATAGCAGTTGCATGCTGCTATCAGTTATACTATTGGACGTTAGCAGAAGTTCTTGTAAACTACGATTAGCTGTTAACGTTTCAGCCAAATGATGAGGGCCCACATCCATAGGCGGCGGAGCCACGAGGCCTGGGTAGGCACGAGCCTACCCTAGGTTGAAGAGGTAAAGGCTTGGGTACGCTCAAACTAGTACAGATAAAGGCTTGACTAGGGTCGATTTAATGTTAAAATTTTCTAATATTAGTTAGTTTTCATGTTCTTCTTACTTTACAATAAGTAAGCCATTGATATTTTAAGAACCAACCTAACTTTTTTCTTATTCTATCTTTTCGTTATTCTATTAAGAAGCATTTTCTCTGTTACTCTGTTAGTTCTTGATTCATTTGAAACAATAAAGCATTATATAGTTATTACAGATCCGTAGAATTATCTAACAAGAAAACGTGTAGAGTTCACCATTATAAACAAATAAAGCGAACCGACTTTCAAACCGCTCTCCACGGTGGTTTGGCCGAAAATATGAGCCTACCCTAGACTGGAATCGTTCCGCCGCCCATGCCTACATCAGTTATTTTATTATAGCGCAAGTCCAATGTGACGCAGTTTCTGTTAGCTTTTAGTCTATCTGTAATTTCTTTCACGTTTTCATCAGTTAAATTTTTCCGCTGCATATTCCATTCATCGTCGTCATTATCTTCCGTCGGTAAAGTGAAAGTTTTGTGTACGAGTGGCGGTGGTATATTTGACAGCAACGTAGTTTCACTTTTCTCTACAAACAAAATAAACTAATGTTTGACATTCTGCTCACATACTCTACCTTCGATTGATCTGTCTTGAATATTGTCACACTGTACAAGCTTCTTTGCTCCATCCATCGTTGTTGGATGCTGTTTTTCGGCTTTGATTGCTGCATCAACACCGGCATTTTTTGAAGCGAATGAATGACCGTAGACTCTTTTGTACATAGTTTTAAAAAGTACTTGGTCTCGTTCAGATAGTTAATTTTCTATTGCTTCGACAATATGCCTTTCGTTCATTTTCTCATGTGATTTTGTTGATTGTTCAATATTATACGATAAAAAACGATGGTTCCTTATACAATTCAACATTTCTTGTTCAGTGTTGTCCAGAATATTCTGTTCCAAAAGCAATAATAAAAAGTCATAGAGATGAAACTCGTTCATATCCGTATACGATATATAATTATAGCGTAATTCCGCTCGGTTCGGTCATCGTTCGAGACTTTCTCATTGTTTATATACTTCTGAAACAATGAGTGATGAAATTGTTCGAGTAGGCAGCGCAAATAAACTGTGTATGATTTTTCTGCTGCAGGCATCCGAAACGTGGATATAACATCTACCAAACGAGCTATTTCGTCTCTTAATTGAGCAATTTTGTTGTTTTTTTGCATTCATTTGTTTTATGAATCTATCGTGAGCCTGAACATATTCGGTTTAGTTACCGTTCGACAGCTCTACTTTTCGACAGACAGCTTTCGACACTGTCGGATTTTTCGCTCGAAATTCGACAGGGTCGAAACACGCTGTCAAAAAGTGTTTCTGTCGAACTGTGAAATTACCGCTGGAACTGTTCTTCGAAATTCTCTAATTCTCATTCCCTTTCATACGATATACAGAGCAGTCACATTTTTATTATCTATTCTGTTTTTACTTGTATATAGTACATATTCACGTGTAACACGTGTATGTACAAGTGTGTAATACTTTTTTTAAAATTCTTCTTTGATTATGGAGAATGATCAACTTCAAAGAACGAAAACATCATTGAGGCGGATGAGAACGGATCGGAGTAACTATGTTGAAGATGATGGTGGCGGATAGTGGACAGTAGCAACGGGACAACACAAAAAATTTAGAAACGATGGCAAGTTTGATGATGAGTGGGATAATGAGTATGTAAATGGCAATTATGAGAGTTCAAATGAAAATAGTTATTACTCAACACGTACAATTAACAATTCTTCAAATAAATATGGTAATAATCAACAGGATCAGCAACGTAATAATCGTTCTTATAGTAAGAATAATCATTCATCTTCACAGCACCAAACACTAAAGACAAATAGTAATGTGATGAGTCAATCGATGAATCACACAAACGAAAGAACAACGAATGATCAAATACATATTTCAAGTCATGCACTAAGTTATGCAGTTGAAAGTCATCTACCATCTTTTAAACTAGAATGTGATCCAAAACTGCAACAACAACAACAAGATGGTACAGTTTTAGTTAAAGAATTGTTTAAGTTAATTGAGAATGATTTTCGTAAAAATAATAAAGATTACAAGAAACCTTTGAGATTTGATTACTGGTATATTGATCAGCAAGGTGATTTGATATGTTTTGTTAAACAAGTAGAACTGTTTGTTTATTTTTGTGATATATCACACTATCCTGGTAAAATAAACGATTGTGAGATTAAACCACTTTTACCAAAAAAGTTGCCACCTCAATATTCAATAATAATTAAGTTTGTTAATAACAATCTATCTGTACAGGATATTAAAGAGGAGTTAACTACAAGTTACTCATCGATTTATATAATTGAAGAATTGAATGGAAGCAAGTCTAATAAAAATAGACATGTACGTGTAGATATGAAATCAAAGGAAGATTATAATAAGATAATGAATGGGAGTGTTGTTATAACACATGGTCAATGTTTTAATGTTAACGAATTTCTACAAGTACCAAAATTACTTTTATGCTCTAGATGCAATGGACCAGGGCATATAAAAAAAATTTGTAAAAGTCCAATGGAAATATGTCGTCGTTATGGTAAAAATAGACGGGATGGAGAAGATCATACTGAGTGTGTTGTTAAATGTCATTATTGTCAAGGAGAGCGTATATCTACAAATTATCAATATCCGGTATTAGCTGATTATCGTTTTAAACTAGTTACTGAATTATAAAAACGTCTTGATTTATTACCACATGATACACAATTGTTTATTCCATCTATATGTCGATCAAAGGATTTAAAAAATAGTAAAATTCTAATGAATAAATTAAATACGAATCGGACTACTGATCTACAACAACAGTTTTACAATAAAATGATATAAATGCGTGGCCATTAATAACACATCCAATGACCAATAATCAGTTATCACCACTAAGGAATATTATAGATATTGATAATGAATTAAAAAAGACGGAAGAAAAAATAGAACAGATAAAAATTGAATATGAATTAAAATTCAAAGAAATACAACTAAAGCTAAGTTCACATGTTCGAATCTCTATTCGTACAAAAATTGATTTTGTGTTTTTTGATAGTTTTAGTTTAGAATACTATAATGAAATATTCTTCCGCTTGTATTCTGACGGAATAAAGCTTATATAAAAAAAAGGTTTGTCGATGTCAATAATGAGTTTTAACGTCTAATTCTCAAATGAACTCTTTGTCATTTAATGTCTACCCAATAGCGCTGAATGGACTACAAAACTACGTTGAAGACATCTTCACTTTGGAAAAACAGTCAAAACTAGACCAAAACACGAAGATCTTAGATTATAGACGTTTACTCTGAAAGTCATAGCAAACCGGGCCATGTTTCATGGGGGCGATTTGGGAAGAAACGGTGTAAATATTCTGATTCGACTTGAAACTTAGCCGTTTAAAAACCTGTGTTCTTAAAGAAATTATCCATACCCCCAATATGTTTTAAAAAGACTCAGTATTTAATTTATTTCTGTTCAGTTTTTCATAAACTTATATCAGTAAAAATATTAATAGTATATAAGGCGCTCGGTGCTAGTATTAAAGTACTCAAAAAATTCTACAAAAGTAAATTAAAATGTCTAACAACGAATGGCAAGTTTTGAACGTCGTCAAGACACTCGATGAAGTTACAGCACTAGTACAACAACATCAAGTATCGAAATTTCGTACGTCTAATTTAAAAACTTCTACTAAATATTCGTATCGATGTAGTCAATATCGGAAGTATCCATTGTGTCGGTATGACATACACGTTAATATTCTAGATAATAATCCAGATGATATCAAAATACTGTCAAAAAATGTACATTCACATCAACAACATAATACAACAACCCGTTTACCTTCTTCTGTTCGTGAATCAGTTGCAAAATATGTTAAATGTGATCTTACACAAACTCAAATGAAATCTGCATTATCTATTGATCATTCAAATATTCCATTACCATCAAGTCAATTATCGAATATAATCAGATATAATCGACGGAAAAACAATCCAGAAATATTTTACAAGTAAATATTTATATTTCTTGTCAAGTAAATTTTACTTGACAAGAATAAAATGGTTCATAATTATTGTTTATGAGGTTAATACTTTAGTTGAGAGATTTTTTGAACTTTTTTCTTTCGTATTTATCAAAGAATAAACGTTTCGATATGTTAGCATATCATTCTCAGTAGCTTAAGGGGGGCGGGCTTTAAATTTTTCTCTAGCATTCCCAGTTTGTAGAGGACACTTCGAAGTATATGTTCTGAAGTTTTTTCGGCTTACTGACGTTATTTGGCTGAGAAAAAAATTAATTACTTAAAAAAATATTGTTAAATTTTTGAGCACGGGGTTATTATTAAAAAAATTCCTCTCCATCCTCCATTCATCACAAAAGCTTGGTTCTTGCCTAGATCGATAGAGAAATGTGCGGAGAATATTTACGACGAGAAAATATGTAAAAATTTTTGTTCTTTTCGTCCGATTATTGACTAATTAGTACTAATTAACGTTAATTTAGCCTACTCTACTAGCTTAAAGTCCCATTTGTAAAATAAGGGCTCAAGGAAAATTTCAAGCACTACCTCATCTGATAGAGAATTTCACGAGCTACAAGATAAGCTACCTTAGAAGTTTTAGAATTCATTTTTGGCTGCTGGGTAGGCCTGGTTTCTTTCTCCACTAAAGAATTGATCGGGCTTTATGAGCGCATGAAGTTTTTTCACACCTTTTTTCAAGACTTGGGATTTTTTCTTCTAGTC